ATTTTATCACATTGTATTTATTTTATGGTTTTATTGAGCTACGTTGTATTTATTTTGTATTTTGTGTATAACAACATTGTATTAGTTTTGTATTTATTCTGCATATACTTATATATGTATATGTTGCCTCTCCCAATATTTAAGCTCCTTGAGGTCAGGGAATGTTTCGTTTTTACATCCATGTACCTAGAACAATACCTGGCACATAGAATATGCTTAATAAACAAATTCTTATTGATTGAAAATCTATAATGGTTCACATATACATATTAATATTTACAAACTACTTCTTCTACAACAGCCCTGTGACATAGAAAGTACAAGTTTTATTATTCCCATTTTGCAAACGAAGAAAGTGAGGCTCAGAGAGTTCAGTTAAATAGTCTGGCCACATCACATGGCTAAGTGAATGTCAGAACCAGGATTCAAATCTACATCAATCCTCATTTCAAGTCCAGCATTTTTTCCACTCTCACAGGCAGCTTCTTTAATACCATGCTGCTTAAGGTGTTTGCTAATAAGGACTTTAATATTCAGGGAGTAATTGCATTTTAATAAAAGACCAAGGGAAACTGAAAAGCCTTCAAGATTCACAGGAATAAAGCTATAATGTTGGAATGATAAGTGATAGAGTTGATGTATGGGGCAAGGGATTCTTTCCAGGGTCTCTCAGATCATACCATGTTCATCTTCACTTACTCGTAAGGCTAATTATACCTCTTTAGTGAAAGTGACCTCATTGGATTATAGTTCTTTCTTTCTCAGACACTGTTGAGCTAATTTAAAAACTGAGCAGTAGCGTGAACCACGTTCAGGCACTGTGGAGATGACTTAAAGCTGAACTGAGCAAGGTTTCAAATATTCTCAGAGTCTTCAGGCTGAGATCTTGAGAGTTCATTTAGTCTGTCCTCCAACTTTTCTTTCTTAGGTGCACTGTGCCTAAATCATTTTGCTAAGACAGAGTATCCCGACCATCATGTGCCTTTTAACCCTCTCCCCATCAGGATATGCTCACTCAGGCTTCACTCTTCCTGTTTCAACTTAAATCTGTTTCCAAAGGGAGTTAGATAGTGGCCCTTTGGGGGAGCCATTTCTCCCCTCTGACTTTTGGTCTGTTATCTTCTTAGCCTTTTCTTTCCCAGATGAAATAATAATCCTAAATTTCTTACCTCTAAGTCAGTCTCTCTGCTTAGAAGGATTTTGCTCCTGGGTCCAAGTTCAGAACCCACTGCCTTTTCTCATGTCCTTTTGATCTCCCTTTAATTAAGTGGCTAAACTCCTATCAGGGCTTGTATCTACTTCTGGGAGAAGAGGTGATCTCTTGGCACTAGACAGTTGACAGAAGGTCCTAGCAGTGTTTCCTCCTTCACTCCTCCACACCACTTGTTGATTGACTTCATTTTACTCTTTGAGAGAGGGTGTTCCTTGTTGCAAACTGTCTATCTGTGGCAAGGTTTGTTCAAACACAGATTTCTGAAGCGACAGTACTGACCCTTCTCTCAGGGATGGCCTTTGACTTGCCTTGATGGATCATATAGAAACATTTAAGCTTAGATGCAGAGGGGCAAGGAAGGAGAATTATCCTTTGTGTATGTGTGGTGTTGGGTTATAGTAGGCCTTCCTCATTGTTATACCATGTAAACCTTAGCACCTTAGCACCTCTCCGCAGACCTTGTGGGGAGCTAAAATGCAGTAAAATCTACTGTCTTGGAGATTTCAGCTCATAGGGCTTGGTATTGACACCCATAGGTTCTACATTGAAGACTGCCTGAATATCCCATGCCTAACCCTAACAGCCAGGCTCAGCACTATTAATCAATCAGTAAATATTTATTAAGTGCCTGCTATGCCCCAGGCATTGTACAAAGTGCTGGGGGTACATAAAGAGGAAAAAAATAGTCTCTGCCCTCAAGGAATTTACAGTCTAGCTGGTTTGTCTTTGGCTCCTTTCCATCTTCTTATTCAAACCCTTTCTCCTAGTATTTCTTCCTATCCTCACCAAGTATTTTTCATAGAAGAGAGAAGAGCTGATGAAGAGAAGGGAAATATCCGGCCCTCTTCTTAATTCAGATTTTCTGCCCCCTCCCCCTATGCCCCACCCTCCATTCCCCTGTCATGGTCCCACCCAGGACTAGCAAGTATCCCATGCTTTTAGATCTGTTTCCCCAATCTTCATTTCATGAAACCTTCTCCAGCCCACATCTTACTCCTGCAGAATCCTGCTGATAGCACAAGCTATCATGCAGTGTGCTGTAGTGGAAAGACTTGCAGTCAGAAGGATTGGGTTTGAATTATGGTTCTGCCACTTTTAATTAAGTGATATTGGGTGAATCACTCACCTTCTGAGCTTCATGGGAACATAGATTTAAAACCTGAAGGGACCTTAGATATCATCGTGTTCAACCTCGTCATTATTCAGGTGAGGGGATTCAGGTGGCTCAGTGGGGTGAAGGCATTATCCAAGGTTATGCAAATAGTCAGTGGCACAACCAGGATTTAAATTTGGAGTGAGAGGACTCCAAATCTAGTTCCCTTTCCACTACACCCTATTGTTTTCAATTTCTTAATAGATAAAATAGGGATAATATTTATAATGTTACTTTACAGGCTTGTTCTTTCAAGTGAGAATTTATATTTTAACACAGGTAGTTGGGAATGTAATTCCTTAACTCAAAGGAATGAATCATTAATGATAAAAATCTCAGGGAGGTTCGTGGGGGAGATATTTTTGGAGTTAGTGTGGCCTTTTTGGCTCCTTCCTAAATCATATCAGGTAGGCAACTGTCCAGTTTATATATGTTTGAGATCAGCCCTTTTGTGATGTGAGATATCTTTTCCAAGGCCTTCTTCTCCTTTCAAAGGTGAAACTTGCTCAGTAGTTCCCATTGGCCACCTTTCTACCTTAGACTACCATGAGTCATCTAACTGGCTTCCTACTGTTAGAGGCCTTGAGAAATGGTGGCTCATGAATTCTAGAGATAGGGACTATAGCTTTTACATCGAAAGCAGCTATTTGGAAAGGAATGATTTGGACTGTGAGGAGAGAAGGCTGATGGCAACTGAGAGATGGCGACTAAACCATATGTTTAGTGGAGGTTGTGTCTCAAGGAACACACATGGGGATGGACTTGTGGAGTTTTATCCCATGGAGTGTATGCTGAATGTCCCCAGAAGTTGCCATTGTAATTGAGTATGTGCTCTCCATGGGGGTGAACCCTCCTGCCACTCTCCTCCCATCTGCATTTAGTCTGTAGGGTTATCACATAGGAAATAGAGACCTGAGCTTCTATGTTTTCATGAAGGATAAGGTAAGAGGAAATAGGATTTAACTCTAAGCTGGATACACTTGGAAAATTCTGGCCAGTGTGATCTAGGAGATTAGATTAAGTTTTGCAGAGGCAAGTGATAAAATCCTCCTTTCCTGGGGACCCAGATGAAAAGATTGATTTTGATAGGTTTAAATACAGAGAAGCAGGAGGACAGATAAAGTGACCTTTATGCTTCCTTCCAGATGGAGTTCCTCTGACCCCATGAAAAGATCATAGGTTAGTAGGATTATGGATTTAGAGTTGAAAGGGACCTTAGAGGTCAGCTTGTCCAACTCCCTTGTTTTACAAATGAGGAAACTGAAGCCCAGACAGTTTAAGTGATTTGCCCAAAGTCACACTGGTAGTACGTGGCAGAGCTAGGATTTGAACTCAGGTCCTCTGACTGCAAGTTCATAACTTCTGATTGCACCACAATGAGATGTTCCAAGGAAGGGTTGGGTTTGGGGCTCTTAACCTGGAGTCAGTGAACTAAAAAAACTTTTTTTTTTTGATAATCGTATTTTACTAAAATTGCTTTCCTTTGTAATTCTATGGTATTATATTTATTTAAAAACATTCTGAGAAAGGGCTATAGACTTCACTAGAGTGCCAAAGGGGTCCCTGACATAAAAATAACTCCTGGAGTAGAGGGAGGACCTGCTTCAGGAACATCTTTTGGAAAGAGTGGGTGCCTTGAGACTTGAAAACATTGGAATTGTTGCGACTGAATCAGAGGGGTATCACCTTTCTCTGTGGGGAATGTAACTCCTCTGGTGTGGTGGCTCAGGTCTTTAAGGAAATTCATTTTCTCCAAAAAATGTTGACACTAGGCTCTGAAGAAGTGACTTTATCTTCCCTTCCTGCATTCTCATTGGTGAGTTTATATTCATTAGAACTTATGGTATTTGAGGGCGGGGAATATTTAATTTCTTAATGTCTCAAATACCAAGCATAGTGCTTTGTACATGGTAGGTGCTTCTTAAATGTTTATTGTTTATGGGAATGCAGAAGATTTGAGCCTTAGGTTTCTTCTGTGTATCACTGAGGGTATGGCTGACCTTAAAGTCATTCAAATCTTTGTCAAAAATCAAACAACTATTTGCTGAGGTTCACAATACACCTATCATGGTAGTAGATACCAGGAGCCTGAGAGGATATGTGTGTAGAGGAGAACAGTGGTCCAACCTCAATCTTGAAGCTGGGGCTCAATGGTACAACATTTTTATAGGCCACCCAACAGATGGTATATCTGAAGGGAGAAAGGCAGAGAGATGGTGCCAGAGGGCAGTGGTCTGGTATTCATACCCTATGTTTAGTGGTTTTACTTAAAGGTGAAACTTACTCTGAAGCTCATGTATGTCACCCTTCTACTTCTATCCACCGTGATGTGTCTTTCTGGCCTCCCACTGCTGGAAGCTTTAGGGGATAATGGCCTAAGTTTTAGAGCACAGGGAGCATAGCTCTTAACTGGGCTCTTAATGGCACTCAGCATGACATTCTATGTGGGTGCTTTCTAAAAGTTATTTCAAGATGAGGTAAAGTTGTAAAGCCACCATCTGTCTGTCTGGCTTTATTTCAACAAGCATATGGAAGAGATACTTTCTTTTCTTCCCCCTCACTCTTTAGCTGGTGATCATCTCCATCCAGGTCAATGATACCAGAGACATAACCCAGAGACGTAACATCACAGTCTTTGCTTTTCCAAAAGCACCTTTAATAAAGTCTATCAACCTGGCTAGGTGGCAGAATACAATGCAGCTCAGATACATGGTAAAGTTAGTCTTATCCAATTATATAATCTCTTCCATAAGAATAGAAAGAATTAAATGGATTTTTAAATGAACTCTATTAAAAAAATAAAAACTTCTTACAATCCTCACTTATATGCAGGGCAGGGGTAGAGAAGGGAAGCAGGAGGAGTCAGAGGGCAGTTTTTCCAAGGAGTTAAAGGGTTTTGGAGATTCTAAGGGACCTTTAGGAACCTACAATGTTCTTTCCTCCACTCTTCTGGAAGTTTCTCAAGAGGGTTGAAGATGCAGGTGTAGCATTTCTTCATGGTCAGAAAAGTCTTTGGTCATGCCTTTACCATCTCCATTAAATGACAGAGGTTAAAAACAGCAATGAAGGAACTGAAAAGGTTGGGTTGGCATTTGGAAAGATTTTTCCACTTTGGTATCCCAAATACATGGTAGGATCCAGTCTATGGTATCTCCTGTTGGCCTAGAGAGTCTATGTATATACTCATTCATCAGGGTCTTGGCAGATATTTCCATTTCATGCTAAAGGAGAGGGGCAGCTGAAGAAAAAAGGAGCTAGAAGTTTGAAGTCCACTTTCTTGTCAGACCTAGAATGAAGAAAGAGAGTAGGGAAATTAGTCACTGGAATATTAACGTCTTTGGCAGGTAGAACACTTACAATTCTTTGGTGCTGTGATAGAAGTGGTTTAGCCTGGAGTCCCGTTAGGGGCGGAGACAGTGTTACTCACAGCATACCTATACTTAGGCACAGCACAAACAACTAACATTGGTTAATAAGATATAATAATTTGATTAAGCTGAAGGAATAGGGATTGCAACTTTAGGCAAGATGCTTAGCCTCAGTTTCCTCATCTGTAACATGAGGATTACTTGTTCTCTGCTCACCTTATTGGGACTTTGTAATGCCCAAATAAAATAATGGATATGAGAGTGATTTGAAAAATGTACCATGGAAATTTTGAGTGCTAATCTTATTAATATATGTACCTTGTAGTATGAGGTAGGAAAGTGTGATGGGTTAAACCACTTTAAGTGGGACCATACTTGTTCTTAGAACTTGTTAAGAATACCTAGACCAACCCTTCCCTCCAATCTCTGGTCCCTTCCACCCCTAAAGATACATTACTTACTTTAGTTTGACCACAGACGAAGTGTCATGAGCAGGTTAAATCCCGCAGTCTTCAGGAAGATGACACGGAGAAAAATCAGAAACATGTTCATCAAGTTCAAATCTTTATCTAGAAAACCAAGTTGGCATAAGGTTACTGGATTCCATTTTTGGGATTCTGTACCCACTGCCTGATGAGGCCTCACTCTTCTCTAAGGAAGGTCCGAGTTTACCAGGCAGTCATCAGCCTGGTGAGGACTGGCCATGATATCCCTTGGTTTCTCTCTCCTCCTAACTGTGGACCCCACCTTGTGAATAGTCACTCATCTACTAAACTAAACTATAGGCTGTTAGAGCTTGAAGGGACCTTATAGATTATCTAGTTCTAGACCAACACATTTTACAGATGAGGAAACTGAGGTCAAGTGATATTCATGAGGTCATACAAGTAGTAAGTGGAAGAGGTGAAAGAAAACCTTAATTCTCCAATCCAGGGTTTTTTTTGTTTTTTTAATATCATGCAGTGCCTGCCTTCCATTAACCTTCAGACCTGAAGCATTTGTAGACTCAGGAAAACCCCTTTGGTTATTTGACTTCTGGTCATTAGGCTGCAACATAGGTTGATTCAAAGAGGCAACACAACCTGAAGCAAATGTATGGAAGGTAGTCAATGAATGATTCAGGGACTTCTCAGTGGAAATGAGTACAACTTAAAAAAACAAAAAACAAACGAACCCACTTGCCTACGCCCTCTCCACTCCCCCAACAAACAAACAAAAACAAAACTAAGGAGATAATGGTCCATAGTTACTGAGGGGAAATGACCTCAGTGTTGACTCAGCTGTCCAGTGGTTTGTTATAGTTTAGCCCATTCCAATCATATCATTCAATGGTTTCTCATCTTTGTTAATAAGTAATTCCCTTTGGCTACACATACAACAAAGCTGAGAGACTTCAGGAGCCGTTAAGTGAATAACTGGTCTAGTAGGAACCCAGCTTCAGAGGGTATGGGCACCAAGAAGGTAGAATAAAGACCATGGGAGGAGAGTGACCTTTGAAAAATTACTTCATCTCTCTAGTTCTTAGTTTCCTTATCTGTAAAAGGAAGGGGTTGGGCTAGATCAGAGGTTCTTTTTGTTTTGTGTCATGAACTCCTTTGCCAGTATAGTGAAGCCTATAGACCCCTTCTCAGAATGTTTTTTAGAATCATAATTGAAGGAAATGATAAATTTCAGTTGGAAGTTTGTAAAATCAAGATGTATTTTTTTCCCCCATGCAAGTTTATCAACCTGAAATCTATACATAGACCCTTTGCATACAGTCCAGGTTAAGAATTCTTGGATTAGATGACTTTTAAGGTCTCTTCTAGCTCTAAGTCCTAATGTGATTGGAAAGAAAACAAAAGACCACTCAGACAGAGTGTAAAGTGTTGCTCTTACTCCCTCACCCTTATCTGAGATAGGTCTCCTGGCTGTAGCCCTCTCCTGTCCTTTTTAGGGTTACTATGCATTTTTTTTCTTCATCTCCTACCCAGTTCTGTATTAAGGAAGTTCATAATTTCTGGTACATACCTGTTTCAAAGCTTTGCTTTACATCCTTGACTTTGCATGTGGAACCTGCAAATAGAAACAAACAGAATCACCTTTATGGATCTTCAAGTTGGGTGGTACCTCTGCCCATCCCAAATCATCTGTAGGCTAGGAAGATATACGTAGTTCATGTGTCATGGAAAATAGACATAGCACCTTTAGCTCTTGGGAGAAAGACTCACACATGGTGGTCAAGAGCCAGTATTCTCTACAACATCTCATGGCTCATTTTAGATCAAGACTACCTCTTACTACCAAACTTCACACTGCATCCTCCCCCTACCCCACCCTTCCCCTGGGGCCATAGCTTAGAAAGGATTGCCATTGGGCTAGTAGGAATGAAAAATTTACTGATCTCCTGACCTCTTAGAAATAAAGGTACAAGGTAAATGCGCTCTTTACTTGGATATAAGCTAGAGATGTCCCATAGTAGAGACTATGGAATGGAAAAAGATTTTAGAAGCTTTTTATCTGGAGTAGAACCATAGCAGAACCCCTACAGTATAGGGAAACTCATCTTTCTAGGAAAGGCTTTATACTGACCTGATGGTTGAGTCAAATTGACGATGTTTTGCTGGAATGCATTTGTGCAATTGAAGCTTGATTTACTACCCCAAATCACTGCTCCATAGCTCTTAGATTCCATTGTCATCATCTCCAGCACTGTTGAGTCGTTACTATTTGCATACTTATTAGAAGAATCAAAGTCTGTCAGGAGGCAGACTGAAGTGTCACTTGACTTGGGGCTTGTTAGTTGGTACAGAGCTGGCTGAGGGTCCGTGATATCTGTGAACAGAAAAGACATGGAGTTCAAGAAATGCTGCTTTTCCCCCATCTTTTTGCACCTTCTTACCTTGTGTTAACTCTTGGAATACCAGTGTCTAAAAAAGGTCAATCCACCCTTCTCAGAAGATACTATTTTCAGATTTTATAAACTAGAGATAATAATTATTATAAATAATAGAGATCCTGTGGTTAGTTAGATATTGTTAGATATTACATACTACCTCTCAAGGTCAAAGAAAGAAAGGTCCTATATGTACCAAAATATAGCAGCATTTTTTATAGTAGCAAATAACTTCAAACAAAACAGACATCCATCAATTGGAAGAATGACTAAAAAAATTGTGGTATGTAATGTAATATTCTTTCAATATAAATCAATCAGTGAGCACGTATTAAGTGTCTGCTATGTGCCACTCAACAAGCTAGGTTCTGAGGAAGAAACAATTTATATGATGCACATAGGGAAGCATGGGAAGACAACATATAAACTGCTGTGCAAAATGAAATGAGCAAAACCAGGAAAATGGTATAACACCATGAATACAACAATGTATACTGAAAGAATAAAATACGTAGAGCTGGATGCTGTACGGTTATAATGATAAAGCTTGGCCCTCAAGAAGAGACGACAAAGTGTGCTTTTTTTTCCTTTCTTTGCAGAAATGGGGGCTGGGGTGTATAGAACATTATGTATATTGTTTTACTGAACTTCTTCCTCTCCTTCCTCCTTTTTTTCTTTTTTGTTCTTTGTTACAAGAGATGACTCTTGTGAAGGGTAGTGGTAGAGAATATTTGGAAATGAAGGAATGACATTTGGAATGACATAAAAACAAAGATAGTAATAAAAATTAAAAAATACTATGAAATATGTTGAAATGGAGCCAGAATCTTAGACCAAAATCTCTAACCAAGAGACTGAATAGCCTGTAGTTTGGTAAAGATAATGATTATTATCCAGATTATGATATTTATCTAGATTATCTGTAGTTAGATTATTACCTATGTAGGTTATCAACCACTATATATTATTAAGGAAAGATACTGCAAATGGACAATGAGTTGGGATTGGAATTGAAAAGGGGAGGAGAGAATGTTGAGTTACAGTTGTGAAATCCTTTAATGACCCCAGACTCCTTGAAGCAGTCCCATTTTTCAATATCAATATTTATAGGTGTTACTGTATGACTGTCAATCCAAGAACTAAATATGTGTATCACTCAGGCATATGGTGGGTGTGAAGGCAAATGGTGGATGTGAAGAGCCAATACATTGTAACCAAGCAATTACAGAGAAAATCTGGAACAAAGGATGACATGAAGGAAATGGACTGGCCATGTGCTGGGAGTGATGGATGACTGATGAATGTCTTGTTTTCCCCATAGGTATCCTTGTGATGTCAAAAATGGGGTAAACTTATGGATTATGTATCAAAGCCAATTTGGAATACCTGTCCTGTCACTAAGAGATTTCTATCCCAATAACTTATTATGGTATATGCCTCATGGCTCTACTATAACATTTAAAAACCTATTTCATATATAAGTAATAAAAATACTAACAGTTTTTCTTTACAAATGTACTCCTGTGGAATAAGTAGGAGCTGTACTCTCCATTTATTTCTGGGACTTCTTCAGCATTTTTTTAGATATTCAGGGTTTTAAAAGATTCTCACTGTGTGTTCTTCACAACTTCCTATGTTTAGAAGAGGAAGTGGAAGTTTGAAGGGAAAAATGAACAAATCCAGGCCACCCAGAGAGTAGAACAGAGTTAGGGTCTGATTCTCCTGTGCCCAAAGGCCTCCCACCAGGCCAGCAACATTGCCTGCTTTTTTTCTGCTCAGACCTTATACTGCACACACTAAGCCATTGTGGTCTTGGCTGCATAAACATCCTGCAGAGCTGAGACCTGTGGAAACCAGCCCTAGGCGTAGATGAGGGAAGCTGAGTCAAATGAAAAACAAACTGGAGAGATGACCTTTATGCACAGGGCCATCCCTACTTGGAGATAGAGTTGGTGGTGGAAAAGTCTACTACAAATTAGCACCATTCAGATATTTGAAGAGTATATTCACATTCTGTTACCTGCCCTAAGGATTATTGTGAGGCAAGTCTGTAAACCTTAAAGCATTTTATATATCCATGTAAGTTTTTTATTACCATTATTCATTAAGTCTACATTTTTCCAAGTAAACACCCCTCCCCACTTCCTAAAGGAACAGTGTTTGTTGAACTTGGAAAAGATAGGGTTTAGGATAATTCTCCATCTGCACTAATAGATTAAGAAGGAAGTAGAAAAAAAGTGGGAAAGATTTTGAGTGTTCATTAGAGAGGACTGGTAAGCATGTGAATGGATTGTGGGAGAGCCTACATAACTGCTTTCTCTTGTGGTCTTTAAATGTAGGCTAGATTCTCCTCTATGTAGCATGGTTATATGATGCTAGTGCTTGGAGAATGGGGGATGGTCCTAAACTGTGAGCAAAGGAGCATTTATACTTGCAACAAACATCTTCAAGTTCTGCAAATTAAGAGAGAGGAAGAACTCATTACAGGATTTACTGGTCAGCTTCCTAATTTACTTTAGGCCCTAGGAATGGGGTCCCTTGGAAGGCTTCTTTCAGCAGCTCCCTAAGCAGCCACTTAGCAGACTAAGCAATTCAGAGGCTCCCAGAGTTGTGTGGCAGCCAGACCAGACCTGAGTCACATGGTTTTAGCTTCACTTTTTGCATTCTGTGCTGGACGCATGTGAATTAATGGGCCTGCCCTTTACCTCTCTGTGCCTCCCCACATCTGCCCACTGTTCATTTGGGCATGTGGTAAAATGAGGGCTCAGCTCCAGGTTGGGGGAATACTGGGGTGTGCAGAGTTGTTGCTGCTCTCACATGGTTGGTACAGTATGTTGGGTGCCACTCCCCGAACTAGTTCCAATTTTTCAGTTTATAGATTCCATTTTCACCCTCATTCTCCGTTAGCCCAATGTCTTCCTTAAAAACAAACATTCTCTTTCCCCTTTCTACCTTATTCCAAAACTCCAAGTCAGTCCAACTATGTGCAAGACAGTATGCTAAATGGTGGAGATACAAGGATGAAGAATGTTTACACATAGTTGTTTGCGTATTGTCTCTTCTGTCCCCCACCATTAGATCACGAGCTTCTTGAGGGCTGGGGCTGTATTTGTCTTTCTTAGTATCTTCCCCCACCCCTCTAGTGCTTGGCATATACTTGATGCTTAGTAAATGCTTGTTGACTTGACCCTCAAATAGCTTATGGATTAAAATGGGCAATACAGACTATACTAAGATTAGATATAACATAAGGAAGGGAAGAAAAGACCGGATTAAGGGCACCACGAAAAGAGGAGGATGGAAGAAACACTTTCAGCTGGTTGAGTGTGAAACCAAACAAATTTTTGTGCTACTTGATTTTGTACAAGAGCTAGATAAAAAACTGTGAGTACTGAAGTTGTTTGACTTGGCAAGGCTACACATTTTTTTCAGTAGGGGTTTCCCTAATCTAAGTCCCAATCTACTATTTTAGTCCAACTGAAAATGACCAAAAAGCTATGTTTTAGATCTTCTTGGGCATATAACAGGTGCCTGAGTGGTCTACAGCTCACATAGTGTTTATGCTACATATACATATGTTTATGCAGTCCTAGGAACTCAGAAATCTGAGTTAGCAACACTGGCCGTAGGCCTAGATCAAGCTTGTATTCTCAGCAGAGGTCTTATAGCTTACATAAAATCATAGGATTTGGAGCTGGTTGGGGTTAAGTGACCAAATGGTCAAGCTCCCGCATTTTATAGGATTGAGAAATTGATTTTAATTTTTTTGGGGGGTAATTGGGGTTAAGTGACTTACCCAGGGTCACATAGCTATTAAGTGTCAAGTGTTTGGTCTGAGGCTGTTTTTGAACTCAGGTCCTCCTGACTTCAGGGCCAGTGCTCTATCCACTGCGCCACTTAGCTGCCCCAGGATTGAGAAATTGAAGCCAGGATTAGTGAAATAACTAGCTTAAAATCACACAGGCAATAAGTAAGTGGCAAAGATGGGATTTGAACTTGTCTTCCAATTCCAAATCTAGAATTCTTTCAAACTATATCATGCTGTGTTGACTCACTCATTACAACCGTACCGATGGACAATAGATCCATATATAGAAAATGAAGAATGAAGATTAGCTTGTATTGCAATCATTCTAGTTTTCTTATCAAATATAGGTTGGCTGTTGGATCTTCCATCTACCATTTCCCATGTCTCCATTACAGAAACTTCCAGTTACCCACTTTATTAAATAGTAGGCTAACTTCTTTCCAAGAAAAAGGAGACAGTATCTGTAAATGGGCCCTCTGAGATCTCTGCTTCAGACTAGTACTGTATTTTTAGCTCTGGCCCTGACTGCTTCTCTTATTCTTGCCTGGAGAGTTTTGGCTTTAGACTCCTCTGTTCACTTCAAGACATTGGTGTTCCTATTGTCTCTACCCTTGGGATTTCTAAGGAAGTCAACTTTTCTACCTAGCTTTTCAAGTCTGCTATTTTTCTCTATTCAATTTTATTTTCAAAATTCCCTGTACATGCTTCCCCTCCCCACCAAGAAAATCACTGCTTCCCACCTCTGCTTTCCATGCTCACGCTGTTGAGCTTAGAATGCTCTTCTTTTCACCACCACTGCTTCCAAGAAAGCTTCACCCTTAGCCTCCCTACTCTTACTGTACTTACTTACAATATTTTAACAATTTATTATAATCTTACTACTCTATGTGTATTAGTTTTGGCTCAGCTGTAAGTTCCTTGAGGGAGGGAATCATGTCTTATGATTTAAAAAAATCCCCCATAGTACCTAATATAAGGTTGGACAAATAGTAGGTACTAAATAAATACCATTCATTAAGATCACTTTTGTATGCTTGAGGAAGAGTTATTTGTGGCAAATCTAAGCAGTCAGTATTGATATTAGGGCTGTTGGCCATTCCAAAGGTTATCCTCACAGCAGACACTTGAATT